GCACCTTTTTTAGGGGTTGTTACCCCACCCTAGAGAATTACCTAAAAAACTTATAAATATATTCGTGGGATATCCTGGATCTAGCCACGATAGCTGGGTTTTTACAAATTCAACTATTTACGATAAATNCCCACCCTAGAGAATTACCTAAAAAACTTATAAATATATTCGTGGGATATCCTGGATCTAGCCACGATAGCTGGGTTTTTACAAATTCAACTATTTACGATAAATTGTCTTCGTATTGTGGAGGTAATATTAATTGAAATACATATCGCTATCATTGGAAAGACATTTTCTCACCCTTTTTATTTCTTGGCGAATAAACTTTTTTGGTGATGCAGTCTAATGTACATACATTTCTTGTCTTTAAATATGTACCTTTTTTTTTCTCTATTTCAGATTATTACCTTTTGGGTGATTCAGCGTACCCATGTAGCAAATTTTTAATAACACCATACAGGGATAATGGGCATTTGACTAGTGCCCAAAAATATTTTAATATTAAGCTCAGCTCCGGACGTGTTGCTATTGAGCATACTTTGGGCATCTTAAAGCAAAGGTTTAGGCAGTTGTATTACTGCAAGTTAAGAAACATGGAGAAACTGTGTCACTTCGTAAGAGCTTGCTGCGTTTTGCATAATATTGCAAGTGAAGATGACCTAGAATTTATTTGTGAGGTAGCTCCAGATATTATTGAAGAAGTCACAACGCGCGGCGAAATTTCTAGGGGAAACTCTGTACGTGATCACATATGTCAACAGCTACAAGTTCTCCGTCAAAATACATAAAAAAACTAATATACACACAGTCTCTCACAGAAGTATTTGTTGTTTAGTTTTTCACAATATTCAAAATGTTCTTCATTATAAATCTTTTCCGCTAATTTTTAATCTAAAAGATTCGATTCTATAACAAAGCCATATACATCAATGTTGAAAGCTTTGTACATAATTTCAGAGAATTTCAAGAAATATTCATCATAATTCAAAACTAAACAACGAATACTTCTGTGAGTGACTGTGCATATACAAATTAATTAATCACATATATGTATTTATTTCATTTGTACTTTCATTTGCACTTAAACTACAAATTAATTAGGAATATTTGGCATTATTCATAAAAAATAAAGTAGGTTTAAAGAGCTTTATAAACTGACGCTTTCATAAATTTTTCAGTTTATAAACCTTTTTTAAAGCTACTTTATTTTTTATAAATAAGGCCAATTGAATATAAGCCGTTGATATGTACCATTGTCCACAAAATAATAGGAGTGCAATATTTTGACGAGTTTGACTAGAATTAAATCGGCTACCAAACTGCATACCGCAATTTGTTCTAAAGATTCTGATTAAAAAGTTTTAAATTTGGGTGAAAATTTGCGAAATTTTTATAATTTTTCTACAAAGCTTGAAACCTGAATTTGTATGGTTTTTGTTGTATAGTCAGCTAAACTTTTATAAAAAAAAATATAAACATTAAATAAACAAAAGACAAAATAGGCAAAACTGGTCAAAATATCGCACTCCTATTATTTTGTGGACAACTGTTCATACTAAATAATAAACATTTAACATAAATTTTAAGTTCAGACTTTCACATTTCATTTAAGCGTATACATATACAAACAAGTAATTTTTTAGCAAAAAAACAATATGTTCAGCTATAAATTTACCGATTTGTTCCTGGAATAAAGAAAACTTGTATGAATGAAATATAGTTCAGTATTATTGTATGTAGATAAGATATTACAAATTCTCATTTGGTAATCAACATGGTTTTACTTTTTCAGCAAATCAGCTATCGACTTCATTATTAGCAGTTTTTCTATTTCGCTCTGCTCTTTCCTTTCCGCCAAATCAGCCTTTCTCTTCAAACTCTCCTCAAATAGTTTCTCCAATCTTTCATCCGACTTTTCTTTTTTTTCTAAATACCGCTCTAGNAACATATATCTTCCATACATCTGATTGTTCAGATATGGGATTTTACTGTAAAACTCCTTTATTTGAACAGCTAAAACCGATAAATTTCGTAAGATATTTTATAAATAATAATACAAAGTCTACTGAGAAAATCGTCAAAATCTATGCTGTATAAGCTTTATCTCCTATAGCACTGATTGTTAAGATACCAGTTTTTGCCATATATCTCCTTTATGTACGAAACTAAACCCAATAAATTGTGTTACCGGTTTACATACCGATCACATAGCGGTGAAAATCACTTAGATTGGTGCTATATAAAGTATATCTTCCATACCTCTGATTGTTTAGATGCGATTTTTTATATAAGTATGTAACTCCTCTATCGATGTATGCAGATGTATTCAAAAGTAGTAATCTGTCAAAGTAAAATTTGCAGATGTTCATGAAAGGTATGAAGCTTTCGGCATAGCCGAAGACAGCGCTGCTCTTACTTGTTATAATTCAAACATATGTACCTGGTGTAGCTGGCGAAGTTTTCCTTTTGTTTGAAGTGGACGGCGTGAAATCGGGCTCGTCTACTACATTGAAGTAAATGACACTAATGAAGTAAATGAGCGATATGTACATGTCGATGGCTGAGTGGAATATCGACCTATCTCGGCAGCCAATTCAAAAACGCCCTATCTCAGAAAACTTTTGAAGAACGCCCTACTTCAGAATTTAATTGAAAAACGCCCTATTTCAGAATTTTATTGAAAATCTCCCTATCTCAGAATTTGGTTGGATAACGCCCTATCTCAGAATTCGGTTCAAAAACGCCCTATCTCAGAAAACTTTTGAAGAACGCCCTACTTCAGAATTTAATTGAAAAACGCCCTATTTCAGAATTTTATTGAAAATCTCCCTATCTCAGAATTTGGTTGGATAACGCCCTATCTCAGAATTCGGTTCAAAAACACCCTATCTCAAACGAAAATATATTGAGAATAAGTTGAGATAGGGCGTTTTTTAATCGGCACCTGAGTTAGGGCGTTCTTTAACCAAATTCTGAGATAGGGTGTTTTTCAATCAAATTCTGAAGTAGGGCGTTTTTTAAAAGTTTTCTGATATAGAACGTTGTTGAAAAATTTTCTCAGATAGGGCGTTTTCGAACTGGCTGCCGAGATAGGTCGATCTTCCACTCAGCCATCGATATGTACCTGGTGTAGCTGGCGCCGCATCTAAGATTTCTTCTGCATCAGTGCTGACGTCAAGACTCGGCATCTCGCTGTCCAAGACACATGTAGGGTATATCGACTTCTTTTCTTTAAATATTTCGTGGGGTTCACTTTATGTACATAAATATAAATGAAAAATTTTATTTATTTCACTTAAAGCATAATAAAAAACCTAACGCAGACTTACTTTTGATATGCGCAGAACTGTCTAGCCCTTCCCGTCTTGGAGTTATTCGAAGCCGCTTGCTTGTAGTTCCGTTCTAGGGTATAGTCTCAACTTGCACCGCCTTAAACATGTAGCCCATTTCGCAAAGTTCTTTGCTAATTGTACTCCACATTTGCTTCTTGTTTTTTAGAGAAGCACTTTTTCCAACCCTTGGACGTAAATCCCTAACCTTCTGGATTAAAAATCTCGTTGGCGCATCCAACCACAATGGCTTTGCTAAATCTGGTGATTCTCTAGAGGCTGTTATCCACATTTTGCTGATATGCACAATCAGGCTGCTCAGATAGAGACATGTCTGGTTCTTTTTGGGAAAACATTATTTGTCCAAACGTATCTTCCCCGGCCACTTGCTGTATTACACACTGCCGATAATCTGCATCTGCAGGTTTAAATACGTAAATAAAAAGTGTTTGTTCACATTGCTTATAGTCTAATAATCTTAATTTCTGTTTCTTACCTGCTTGAATCTTTTTGAAAGTTCCTGGGGAACAATTAATTGTTAATTCATTGTTATTTTCCATTTTTATTCTTTATTTTTTCCCACCAAATAAATCAGCTGTTTAGCCGCTTGCAAGTTTTTGCAAATTTTGCGTTCTCGTACTTTTGTTGATATTTCGTCTCCTTGAGAGCGAATGCTGCTAAATTCTCAGAACTTTTGCTGCTGGAGAATTTTGTCCTCTCAATACGCGTACACACCTTATATATTAGTATAGAAGATTGGTATGAATGTAAATGGATTTGAATATGTGTCACAATATGTATCACACAGGTTGCCATCTTTTTAAAATGTTAAATTCAAACTATTCAATATTTTAAATGATTATTATAATGTGAGTATCAATCGAAATGGGTTTTCAAGCGCTTCATTTCAATATTACATGTAAGAGGTTTCCATCTGTTTAAAATCTCAAATTCAGTTAAGGGGATACGTTAATTGAAAAAGTATGACACAGAAAGTTTTTGTTTGAAAATATTTTGAAGATGGTTAAACAAATTTTAAACCTCATGTCTTTTTATTGAGTTTTATTGAAATAAATTTTACTCAATGAAGCACGTAGAAATTTCATACGCTCAGCGAAGCGGGTGAGGGCGATCTAGTATGTATATAATTCATACAACTAAAGAATGTTAAATGATCTCATCTCTGTGCCTAAGACTGTACCTGCAATTATTTATTTCTTGTTTGTTTTAAAATGTAAAAAGTACATACATATATGTATGTATGTAAATGTTTTGTATTCGTTGTTTGTAATTGAAATTTATTTGGTAGGTTGTAAACGATTTTGGTCGGACTTGGGAAGAAAATTGGTAGGGGAAAAAATTGGTAGTGGCAACGCTGTGCATGGCCAAGGTCAAAGGCATTGTTACGGATTCCCTTGACGCTAATGCCGACGCATTGGATAGAAGCTTATCCGTTGACTAATCTCACTGAGGACAATCGCCCTTGCCATATAGTGTGCACTCGCAGTAATACCAGCTGCTTCAGTCTCATGGGTCCGGTTAATTCGTGGCAGGGAGGACGAAAGGTTTCTACTATACACACGCGTCAAAAAAAAACCCACAAACAAGAAAAAGATTGTTTGCACACTGAATGAAACTACTACGAGGAAAACAAACTGAAACGGCGAACCGACACGCCTCTACAATAATCTCTGCAATTCCTATTTAATCGAAAGGTTAAGCACCTAGCAGCTTAGAGATGTAATTTAGGCTGCTCTTAACCCCCCCTACCATGGTTTCCGTAGATTTTTATCGAAACCCCTTTTACCCGCCAACAATTCCTTTAGGATTTCAACCAAATTTTTTTGTATTTACCAATCCATATTATTATTCATGACATAGAACATTATACATACTTACCTTTAAGTCTTACGATACTATTGCTTACTCATCTACTCACAAGAGATGCGAAATTCAAATATTTTTGTTCTTTTATAAACGATTTACCAAGCTATTAGGGAAACTAATTAGGCAAGTACATACAATCAATAATTGAGAAACAAAAAAACGCTACCTGGGTTTTTTTCTCTTATCAAATATCAATAATACTAGTGAACAGAAACTAAATAAAAAGGAAGAAGAAGAGAAATTACTTACAGTATGCTGCTTTATTCGTTGCTTGTTTTCGCTGCGCTGCTCCGAAGGCCTTCAAGAGATGCTGCTGCGTTGTTAGCACATGCATTAAATTAGTTAGGTATGTAGGTACGTACCTATGTACATACCAATGTACACATGTATGTTTGGGAGTGAAATAAAAATCTCCTCGTTTTCCTTTCTTATATACACATATAAAAAAAACTCAACTAATGCCAATTGGAATTCGACTTCTACTTTTTCTTTTTTTCTCAGTTTCTTCGTTTCTCAATCCATCGATTTGANAAGGCCAAATGGCATTACACGGTAACGATATAATGGCCGGTTAGGAACCGTAAAGCATGTGAAATCTCGTGAATTTTCGGCCAATGGTATCTGCCAAAAGGCGCGACGAAGATCGAGAGATGTAATAAATTCGGCTTTTGGTAATCTACTCAGAATGCCCTCTATGTGCGGTAGAGGGTAAGCGTCTTTGATAGTGATACTGTTAACTCTTCTTGAATCTAAACACAGACGGACTTTATCGGACTTTCGGACTAACACAACTGGACTCGACCACGGACTGTTTGGGGCCTCTTCAATTACCCCCAAGCGAAGCATCTCGTCTATTTCGGCATGGACAATTTTTTCAATGGCGGGAGAGATAGGGAAATATCGTTGCTTGATCGGACAGGTATTGGGTTCAACCTTTATTTCGTGCTCCATTAATGCGGTTTTGCCTAACCCGTCTTTTCACAATTGGGAAATCTTGATTTTACAGTTTCCAGATATCTTTGTTCATCTGCCGTTAGTGCAATGTTGTTTTCATCTATCGTATTCTCTTTAAAACAAACATCGATTTGGGAGATCAAATGTGGTGCTAGTTGGAACTTGCTCCAAAAATCCACACCTAATATTACGTTCTGAGACATGTCTGGTATGACAAAAAAATGTATTTCATGTGTATCTTCCTTGAACTTAACTTCCAGCGTGATCGTACCAAAAACTATTTGCTTTCTACCATCTCCGGTACACACGGACGTCTTATGGTTCCTTAGCTTATGAGTATTGCATACTTCTTTTGCCAGCGAGCTACCTAAGCAGGATACTTGTGCACCGCTGTCAAGAAGTGCCAGATATTCTCGATTTAAAACCGTTATTTGTGCATAGGGTCTCAAATCTACTCCTTTATTCCGTATGCTACCTATAACGTTTGAGATATTTTTGCGCTGAACTTTGACATGTCTCCAGAAGGTGTTCATACGAATCGAAGAAGGACTAGTCGGGGTTAGCGAACAGTCGTCTTCGTCAAATATTTTGGTTCTTGCTTGATTATATTTCTGCAAGCGAATTCCATAAGGGACAATGTCTGTTAATTTCTTTTGGGCAATATCTGGTGCATTGGGGCGTATAAGTGCTTTTACTTCATTGTATTTGGGTCTTGGCGAGGAGTCACTTTCAACCCCTCGCTCATCTTCAAGTTTCCCGGATTACATGATACACATTTGGGTTTGTAAATGCCTGCGGCCCCGCATCCATAGCAAAATATAGTCCTTTCCTCTAAGCAGTCGAAATAGCGGTGGCCTTCTTTCTTACAATTCCAGAATAGTATTTTTGCACTCTTTCCTCGCTGTCCTAACGCATCTACTTCGACGACCAGATCGTCTAATTCGATGTCCTCCTCACAATTAATCTCGTTAACCTGACGGCGCGGAATTTGTCGTTGCATACTATTGATTTCACTCAATAGTCGTTCGCCTTTTAAGCATAGTCTTCGAAGTTCTGCCAGTGAATTTATTGAAACATATAAAAGTTGTTGGCGAATGCGCGGACGCAAATTTCTTTGCAAGATTTCTACCAATTCAATTTCTGATAGTGGAGAACCTAAACCCTCAGCTACTTTTAAAATCGCGTTACGGAATTCATCAAAGGTTTCGGTAGGTCCTTGTTTCCGGGACCGAATAGTTTCTTTTATTTCGCTGGCAGATTTGTGTTCAGCAAAATGGGTGCGTAACGATTGGCAAAGCGATGGCCATGTAACTCTATCGACCGTTCGACGATACCGCCAGTACCAGTCTTTGGCTTCATTTGTAAACAAGCTTTGTATATTTTCGCATAACACGTTGAAATTTCCATTTAGGGTGTCTACAACTTGTGACTCTATGCGATATATAAAACTTTCTACTGACAAACGTGTGGTTCCGTCGAATTTAATATCCCAGCTGGCAACGAGCTGGGCAACTTTACTATTTCGAAAGCTAGCTGATCCGTCGCTAAGTCTTAATTGGTCAAGTTGTCGATTGAAACTATTCAGATTTTCAAAATAGGGCATTTCTTGGGGTAGTACAGGCGTGGAAACGTGGTGGTTCTGTGGTGAGGGGTTCCTATTTTGCAACCCATTAGCCCTTGGCGTTGGCACATCGTTAAGGTTGCCTCTACCTAATAAATTAGTTAAAGCCCCTTCAATTTTCCGTTCAATCAACTGTCCTACTCGCGCTTCAATCTCCTGTACAATATTCGTTTGCCGGGCGGACACGATCGCGTCAACCAGAGTGCGCATGCGTGAGTCGTTGGTCAATGAATCTGATTGTTTATTAATACGGTTTCCAGCATCAGTGGAAAACCCGACTGCGCCCTCCTCCTGTAATGGGTTTGGTTGCGGCGGGTCTATATTTACTAAATTATTGATAGTCGCCGAGTCCTTTTGCATAGCTGCACGGGCTCTAGTGAGGGCACCCGTTGCGAGAAAGTCACGACTACTGCACACTGTTCGACATTGAGGGCAATACGGTTCTCGCTTCAGCCAGGAAGTTAAACATAATCGATGAAATTTATGAGAACAAACAGTTGTAAGCAGGTCCTCGTTATCCCTAAAGGTTTTTCGGCAAATCATACACGTTTGCCCCTGACCAGGTATATTCTCAGCACTGTTTCTTACAGACATGGCTGTAATATACATTTAATCCCCCTTTTTTTTTTGGTTAACAATGGTATTAGAACCCCTTTATCTGATCCTGTACAACTCCTGATAACGATAACAAAACAATCGAGTGCCGTAATGAATTGGTTTACTTTCCCTAGGATTTTGTTGGCGGTATTAGTAATTAGGCATTAACCTTCCAATAAAAGGTACAGAGGATATTGCACTCAGCACTCCATACTCATAACTACTACTGTTCGTTTGAAAATATGAAGTTTTCAAAAATGAAACGATTACATTAAGCTAAATCCATAAAACATATGTCGTGTAGACGATGTAAAATGTGTATAATTTTATTATTTTCATCTGTTGGGTTTACTGGGTCAGCATTAAGCCACCCCCAACCAAAATTCCTCAAAAGATATCCAATAATTTTACACATTGAATTAAGTTTACCACTGATTACTAGAAGTTTACCCTGGTTAATCCCTTAGCATATAGCCGCAAGGAGTTAAAATCCAGTAACAACTTCAC